TCCAAGGCCGTAGCTCTCCCGGGCTCGACGTCCTCTCCCAACACCAAAACAAAAAAGAGTGCTACCCGCTCTCAGGCTGTACCTTCCAACCCCATGTCTACATACAAGGACACCCAAATATCCTCTCTTACCGAAAAAATTGAATTGCCACAAGGTTGAAAGCTTAAAATCCCCGAGCCCGACGACTCTTTCGAGAGCCCCCCATCCGGCTATCACAACTTTTACCTCGATCAAGTGAGTGTCGGGCTTAGATTTCTCCTACACCCTGACCTACTCCGTCTAGGCCGACTGTATGGGGTACCCCTGAACCAACTACCTCCTAACACGATTCGTCTCCTGATTAGCTTCATAATGGTGTGTCGATCCCTCCTCGACTATCTCGACCCCAAGTTGTGTTTTTATTGTATTTGCCTTAGAAACTCGGACAACGCCCCCTACCTCATGCGTCGCACCCGTACCCATTTCGTTGACCAACAACCGAAGATGCACAACTAGAGAAACAAATTCTTCTTTGTGTGTCCCTCTCCTGATCCCTTCGAATTTCCTCCCTTAGCCCCGAATCAGCGCAAGAACCCGAAATGAAACACCACATACAAGACCCTCATTGACCAGTGGAATGAGATCCCACTTCTCATGATGAAGCTGACCACTAGCGATCGGCTCCTACGGTACTTTGAGCTATCCAGACGTGCCGCCGACCCTGTACATGACATAGGTAGGGCTGGGCACCCCGAGTTGCCGTCATATCCCTTACCCTCTCTTTTACGTTAATCATATGCATATAACTCATTTACTTATACTTGTATCCCTTTGTTGTTTTGCAGAGGACCTTCTCAAGACCGTCGTCGCACCCCCAAGGCCGCGACCCCAGCTCCCACCGGGCCCTCAAAGGGAGTGCACCTCCTCCCAAGGGGTTAATCTCACCTGTGGTTGACCTCCCCAAGAATGATGCTCCTTTGCGCTCTCCTCCGCGCACTTACCCCCGTGAACACCCAGGGAAAACCTTCTCGGCCAAATGCAAGAGGCTTATATCTGCAGAGGGGCCCGAAGCATCCCTGAAATGGCCGAACAAGGTCGCCGGGAACTACGACACCTCCGTGACCAGCTCTTACCTCGTTGACATCTTCCCGCGAGGCGAGACCACGAGATGGCCCACCAAGGTGGACCGAGCCGGCGATATCGCTCACCACCTCAGATTGGTACGTGTTCACCACCTTCAACACTCATAAACAAATGTTGCAAAATTTATATCTAACTCATCCTCTGTTCCAAATAGCCTTGGTGGGCATGGCCCCTCTCCTTGAGGAGCAGCTAGACGGCGACGACGCCGAGGTGGAGTCCCTTAAGGAAGAGGTGAAAAAGGGCGAAGAGAAACTCTCCAAGCTTCAGAATACCCTCGATCTTCAGAAATCCGAGAAGGAGAAGCTCCGAAGCAAACTCAAGGCCAAGGACACCAAGCTCAAGGCCAAAGAGACCGACCTCCAGGCCAAGGATGCTGAGCTCGAGAAGCTACACTTGTCGGTAGATGAGTGCATTGTCCACACCCAGGCCGAGGGACTGACTTCCTTCTTAGGGTCCAACCTCAGATGCCGCTTCGTCGATCGGTACCGCCACGAGCTGCTATCGAGGTACCATGACTCCAGGTCGTACCTTGAGAGGATCTGCACGGCCTGCCGCCTATATTTCCACGAGGGGATCCAGTGGACCCTGGCTAAGGTGAAAGATGAAGGGATCGCTATCACCGTGGATGAGGCGAAGGAGCTCGAGATGATGGTCGGCCTCCCTACCCCCGCATGGTGGAACGGTGACTCGTCTCTCCCGGCGACCCATCCTTGGTGGGAGCCGGCCTCGGATCCCGTCGCGAGAGCCATTGCAGCCGACGTCAGGTTAGAGGCGGAGATGGTCCTCGAGCCGGAGGACAACGGGCTCCCCTCTTAGATTTACTTGTGATTTCTGTTTAGTACTCTATGTTTCTTTATTGGACCGAATGTGTTGAACATTTCTTTTGGTTATCCCTTTTGTTTTGGCATGTAACCACGAACTTATTTAACCTCACGTGAACTTTTCTATTCAGGCATGTAATCGTGAACTCGTTCAACGTTTTGCTTTCATTGTGGCGCTTGCACATTTTAATTATTTGTACTTATATGACTAATCGCCATACAAGTAACCACACCTCTTCTTTCATGATAAGTTTCATTCACCGAGCCTTGAAAACCCTTAACATTGTGACCATGGGCTTTTGCACCTAGCACCACTATTGCTAAGTCTTTTAAGACTTACATTCCCAATTGCACACGATGACCTCGTCAACCATAGAGGTCGTCACCTAGATCCACGATCGTTAGTGGGATGCACAGGCTTGCGCCCTCAAGAGGTCGTCGCTTAGCTCCGCGAGCTTAGGCGAGACTACCAGGCTTTAGCCCTAAAGAGTTCGTCGCCTAGCTCCACGAGCATAGGCGAGACTGACAGGCTTTCACCCTATGGAGGTCATCGCCTAGCTCTGCGAGCTTAGGCGAGACTAACGGGCATGCGCCCTATGGAGGTCGTCGCCTAGCTCCGCGATTTTGGCCGAGACTAATAGGCTTGCGCCCTATGGAGGTCGTCGCCTAGCTCCGCGAGCATAGGCGAGACTGACAGGCTTGTGCCCTATGGAGGTCGTCTCCTAGCTCCGCGAACATAGGCGAGACTGATAGGCTTGCGCCCTATGGAGGTCGTCGTCTAGCTCCGCGAGCTTAGGCGAAACGGACAGGCTTGCGCCCAATGGAGGTCGTCGCCAAGCTCCGCGAGCTTATGCGAGACTACCAGTCTTTCACCCTAAAGTGGTCGTCGCCTAGCTCCGCGAGTTTAGGCGAGACTACCAGACTTTTGCCCTAAAGAGGTCGTCGCCTAGCTCCGCAAGCTTAGGCGAGACTATCAGGCTTGCGCCATATGGAGGTCGTCGCCAAGCTCCGCGACTTAGAAGAGACGGACAGGCTTGCGCCCTACGGAGGTCGTCGCCTAGCTCCGCAAGCTTAAGCGAGACTGATAGACTTGCGTCCTATAGAGGTCGTCGCCTAGCTTCGCGAGCTTAGGCGAGACGGACAGGCTTGCGCCCTATGGAGGTCGTCTCCTAGCTCCGCGAGCTTAGGCGAGACTAACAGGTTTGCGCCCTATGGAGGTCGTCACCTAGCTCCGCGAGAATAGGCGAGACTGACAGACTTGCACCCTATGGAGGTCATCGCCTAGCTCCGCGAGCATAGGCGAGACTGACAGGCTTGCGCCCTTTGGAGGTCGTCGCTTAGCTCCGCGAGCTTAGGTGAGACTGACAGGCTTGCGCCCTGCACACACATCACACATGAAAATAGTTAAGCCGAAAAAACTTCAAATGCATGTCTCCAACGATGCATAATATTTCTTCAAATGTGACATGTTCCACGGTCGTGGTAACAACCGCCCTTATGTCAATCAACTTCCATCAGCTCGTCCCGGGAGCTCTTCCCCAACTCTTGTTTCTTTTCTCGATGGGAACACTCAGGTAGGTCATCATTCATTTTCTTGTTCTGGGCCTCGGCTGTCTTCAATGTGACCTCATAACGCCGCCGAGATTACAGCTGGTGGAACTAATCTTGCGCCGATCCCTTTAAGGTCGTCAAAAAGGCTCGGCAACTCACAACATCACTGTACCTGTGCAACACAGCTATGTTGTCAAACGACCTCAAATGCCTGGCTGGGTCCGCCAATCCATCATAGGACAAACTTAACTCCCTGAAGTTGCTAGGAAAATCCCTTTCTAAGACATCTTCGGTGAAAGGGTGTCCTCGTGACACAATAGGTCTCTTACCTTGGAACCGAGCTTGGAGTTCTCGCATCTGGGCCGTCAACCTCTCCAAGGTCAACCCATCCGGTTGTGCTGTTGCCACCGGCTAGGAGGTCACCGGCATCATCATCATCAACTCTCTCTGAACGCTGGTGCTATTGTGGATGCAAGAGGACCTGTCGTTGAGGTGCTAGTGGCCGTCGTGGTGGAGGTTGTCGAAACGATTCATTAGGAGCTCTCTTATCCACCTCTTCAGCCTTGCCTATCTCCTCAACAATGATCCTGTCCAACTCTGACCTGGTCATCTGAATAACCGGGTCCCCCCGTGGTGCCGAAGAAACATTGTCTCCCAGAGGGTTTTGTGCTCCTACCACGACCACCTGTCTGCTATCAAGGGCACCACCCTGACCGCCAGTACCCCCAGATCCCGAAACGCCTTGACTTACACCCTCATCGACCGGGGTGCGAACCTCCTTCCCTTTGTTCGCCATACCACCCGATCCCCCTGGGTTCATCGCGCGCCCCTGAGCTTCTGGTGATGGCGTCGGGGTCACGCTTAGGCCCAACAGCGTCTCTTTGGGAGTGACATGCGATGGTGACCATCTCGGTGGGGGACCTGTCCCGAAGGCCCTCCAAGCCCACTCCGCATCCATCTCCTTTGTCAAGTCCTTCTTCGAATTATCTCCTGTCATGACTCCTATCGTTCTTCGTTTATAGTGAGAAAAGACAGCCTTTGATACCGGTAGAAGACTGAGTTTCCCACAGACATCGCCAATTTGTTATACCACAAATACCTGAACCGCTGGACCGCTCCTCTCCGAACCGGGTTATGTCTCCTCGATCACCGGTACCTGCAAAACACGCCCGGGGTGGTCCCGACGCGAACACTCCGACGCTCAAATCAGTGGCGGTCCAAAGAGAAAATGACAGATTAACGAGACAACAAGTATGTGTGCGTTGTGTAAAATGAATGAACCTGCTCCTTTTATAGAAGAAGCTGAAGACTCCTCATCCGACAAGAAGTCTCATCCCCGTCTAACTGTAAATTGGATTAGATATATCAAGTCTTTAGAGTCCTCATTGATATCAACTTCTTTGTGACTTGGCCCCGAAGCCACTTTCAGGCTCTCTCTTCGGCGTAGCCCTCTGTCCCAGCCGCCTAAGTGCCGAGGCGGCCCTCTCGATGGTACCCTCTTAGTGGTACCCCCTTTGGCCTAAGTGCCGAGGCGGCCCTCTCGATGGTACCCTCTTGGTGGTACCCCTTTGGGCCTAAGTGTCGAGGCGACCCTCTCGATGGTACCCTCTTGGTGGTACCCCCTTGGACCTAAGTGTCGAGGCAGCCCTCTCGATGGTACCCTCTTAGTGGTACCCCCTTTGGCCCAAGTGTCGAGGCGGCCCTCTCGATGGTACCCTCTTAGTGGTACCCCCTTTAGCCTAAGTGCCGAGGCGGCCCTCTCGATGGTACCCTCTTGGTACCCCCTTGATGGCATTCCTGGTACCCTCTCATATGATAGTGACAATCAGATCATGGTCAGTCTGAGTCCAGCTATTACTAACGGCCGTATCACAACCGACCCTTCATGAACCGCTACTGACGACCACATCATAATCTAAATTTTAAAAAATACATTACTGTCATTTTATCTTAATTTTTTACTTGAAATGTCACTATTGTAATTGAAAAATAAAATTATATAAAATTAATTATATATATTTTAATAAAAATTATTACTCGTAATTTTATAAAATAGTAACTTATTAAATTATTATTTTATATTCACATTTTCAATTTTATCGTATTTTCTTCTAAAAATATCACTTTTTTAACTAAGCTTATTATTATTTTTTTCATTTTAATTATGGTAAATTTGTCACTTTTTTTTTTACCATTTAAATCGCGGTTCATTTAATTATCACTGTTCTTTAATAACAATCACAACAGATGATAAATAAATACCCAATAAAAGAAGAGGCGCGAATGGAAACAAGTGGACGGGTTAGTTTCGGAGCGGATTTAACCCGGGATTATCGGGTCAGCGTGGCGCCACATCATCAGCCGTACATTCCCGATCCGACGGTGCAGCAGGAGTTTCACTCAATACAGGCCCGAGCCCACGAGTCCAATGATGGGCCAAGGTACGCCGATAACGTGAGCCCACTTCAGATCGATCTGAATTTCCCACCTGCAGAGGCTCTTGGGCTGGACTCATCAGATCCAGTAGATGCGGGTCGGGCCGTAACTGACAAACGGGCCAGATTTGCTGAGGCAAGGAGGATAAGAAGAGGGTTAATGAGATCCAGGTACATGAGAAATCGTCCCCCGACTTACAATTATGAACATGGTGTTTTGTAGTGCTATTGTCTATTAAAAAACAAGAAAAATGAAAAAAAAAAAAACAAAAATTGAAAGGAAAATCTGATTTCATTTGGTACAGTTATGTTTAGGATATTTTTTTATTTTTTTTTTTTGGGAGAGAAATTAATTAGAGATTTTCTATATATTTTTTGGACTTATTGAACTCTTGATATGTAGTAGTTGTGAATAGTTGATATTTTTTGAAGAATTTTTTCTGTAAGTTTATATTTTTTAGAGATTCTTGAAGTTTTCTTTCCGTAAGTTTTATATGAGTACGTATGATTTTCCACATCAAGTAGGATTTTAGTTTGTGGTTGATATTGGTTAATGATAAAGATCAGAAATTGATCGTTTGAGAGAGGGAGAGATGACAGATCGGGAAGACCGAGAGAAAAAGGAAGAAAGAGATAATATATTTTCAGAATAATGAATAGTGTTTATACTAACCCTAATACAAGCTAAAGTTGTCATTTTAAAAGGCCCAAACAATATATATATACACTAATACCCCGCAAGATTAATATGGATGTTATTCATGTTAATCTTGGAAAATAAATGACAAAAGATAAGTTGGGGCAGTGGTTTTGTAAATAGGTCAGCCACTTGTTCTTTGGTGTTGATGTGTTGAGAGTGATAAGTCCTCCAACAATCTTCTCCCTGATCAAGTGACATTCAATCTGGATGTGCTTGGTTCTTTCATGAAATATATGATTGTTGGCAAGAGCAATAGCTGATTGACTATATGAAAATAAGCAGACTAGAGAAGGGTGAGGTAAATGAAAATCAGCAAATAAGTACAACAACCATTGTATTTCACATAATGTTGTTGCTCCATGTATTCAACTTCTGCTGAAGACTTGCTTATGGTATTTTGTTTCTTTGATTTCTAGGAAATTAGAGATTTGCCCAAAAAAACAGAATAGCCTGTGATACTCTTTCTTGTGTCTAAGCAACTTGCCGAGTCAATCTCACAATATGCATTCTACTGTAAAGTAGAGTTTCTAGGAAAGAAAGTACATGTACTAACTGTACCTTTGATGTACCTTAGCACTCTGTGTGCTGCAGACAAGTGAACTTTTGTAGGCTTTGATAAAAACTAACTAAGAGTTTGAACACTATTAGAACAAATCAGGTCTGGAAATAGTCAAGTAAAGTAACCTACCAATTAACCTTCTGTACTCAGTAGCATCAGTGAGTTCAGAATTATTAGTAGCAGCACATAATTTCAGAGTGGCTGACATATGAGTAATAGCATGTTTAGAAGCTAAAAAACCAATATCAGAGAGAATATCCAGGGCATATTTCCTTTGACACATGTTTATACTTTTATCAGAGTGGACAAACTCTAAACCAAGAATATATTTCAGTTGGCCAAGATCTTTTATAGTAAAACATGAGTGTAAATGATGTTTAACTGATTCAATGTCTGTCATATTGTTACCATCAATTATGACATCATCAACAATCGATTACAGTGATTGTAGGCACTGATGAACATAATATATTTGGTAGATTCTACATTTGTTTTGGTGTTTTGAAGGTAGGCTTCAAGGCAGAATGCAGACCCCTTATTGGAGTTGATGGTTGTCACCTTAAAGGTCCTAAAAAGGGAGTATTGTTAACTGCTGTTGGAGTGGATCCTAATAATTCACTCTACCATCTTGCATATGCTGTAGTGACCAAGGAAAACTGAGAGTGGTTTATCCTGCTTTTGAAGAACAACTTGGATATAAAGAATCAGCATGAGTGGACCTTCATCTCTGACAAACAAAAAGGGTTGATCCAAGCATTCCAGCAGGTTTTGCCCAATTCATATTACAGGTTTTGCGCAGACACCTTCTTGGGAATTTCAAGAATGCAGGTTCAGAGGGATTACATTTAAAAATGCAGTTTGGAGAGCTGCCACAACCACTACTATCAATGACTTCAAAAGGAAGATGGAGGCTCTTAGGGCTTTGGGCCAGGAAGCTTTTGATTGGTTTGATGATAAACCTCCCCATCAATGGAGCAGGTCCCACTTTAATGTCTTCCCAAAATGTGACATGCTCTTAAACAATGGATGTGAGACTTTCAATTGTAACATCTTTCAAGCTAGAGAGATGCCCATTTTATCCATGCTTGAGTGGATTATGGGTACTTAATGAAGAGGCTCCAAGAGAACATAGATAAGGCAAAAGGTTGGGAATTTGTATTGTGTCCTAAGATCAGAGACATAATAGATGGCCACATTGGAAACCTAGTGGACTGCATTCCTTTGAAATCTGATGACTTTTATTTCCAATTTATTGTGCAAATGGTGAGCAGTTCAAAGTGGACCTCAGAAATCATACATGTGGGTGTAGAAGATGAGACCTTAGTGGAATTCCTTGCCTTCATGCTGTGAGTGTTGTACACTACCAAGGGTGGGACATACTAGATTTCGCTCATTCATTCTACGGAAGTGAAACATACATAAAGGTGTATGAGCCTGCTATTATGCCAATCAATGGGAGAAAAGGATAGCCACAGATAGGTATTTTGCCACCTTTGCCTTCTAATCAAGGTAGGACACCTGACAGGCCTACTAGGGAAATGAGGCTTAAACCGGATGAAGTTCAGCCTAAAAAAAAAAAAAAAAAAAGTTAGAGTGAAATCCAGATTGTCACTGATATGGCCACCATTAAGAGACAACAAACTAGTTTGAAATGTTGTTTTTGCCATGTGGAGGGGCACAACAAAAAAATGGTCTGTTGATTAAGGAGGGAAATGTAGAACCTATGGCAATTGGTAGGGAAGACAGGCTAGAAAATTGCAGGTACTCACTCATTCTCTGTCTTTATGTCTCTATACGTTATACTTGCAATTGGACTCTATGGATTACTCATAAACATTCTACATTTTTTTATAGGTGAAGAGGACTAAAACTGTCCAATCAAATCCTAATTCATTCATACAGAGTGTCATACAAAATGTTGATTCATGCAAATGTAAATTCTACATCTTTATGTGACATTTTTTGTGAATAAAAAATGTGGTAATATTTGATTTTTTTTGTTTTGTTTTGATTTAGCAGATGGAGGAGATAAATGAACATGCTCCAGCAATTCTAACCCAAGAAAGTGTTGCTCCTACAAAGGCAAAACTATACAGTATTATAGTTTGTCTCTTTTTCTATTGTTAAATGAATATAGATAGTATATGATTTTATTTATTTATTTGTGATGCAGGAAAAATTCCAAGAAGAAAACAAAGGGTGGACACTCTCATTTCACTTTGGCCCCTAATTTGAATCAATTCAAGCAACCACCCTCCATGTACTCTCAGTTTCAACAAGGGTCATCAGCAGTCTCTGGTGTGAACATTAGAGCACCAACTCCAATTGTTGGTGTCCATTTCATTCCAAGTCATGAATCCTGCCTCTAAAAAAGAGATACAAGATTGAAGGAAATTTTCAAAGGGGTTAAATACATTTCTGTGTCAACTCTCGCAGCTGTTGTGGATGCACAAAGGAAATGAAAAAGAAAAGAAAAGTGACTGAAGAATGAAAATTGTAATTGTGTGATTAAAATTTGTTGAATCCTTTTGTTGTCTCAACAAAACTGAATTTGTCATCTTGTATTTTTTTTAAGTTTGTAGAATGGTTTTGAATTGGTGTTATTTGGTGTTGATTTGGTTTTGGTTGGTGCTGAATTTGTGTTGGTTGGTGCTGTAAATTGGTGTTATGGTAGTTTTGAATTTGTTGGTGTTGTTTGATAGTTTTGAAAACAATATTTTGTGTTGGCACGATGATGTATGGACAACCTTTTGATTTGAATGAATGTTATAGTTATTGAGTTATGTTTGTTTTATGTATTAAGTGTGTTGTTATTTGTGCATTATGGAATCTGGTTGTCGTGTTATATGAGGTAATCAAGTATTACAAAACAAAAAACAAGTTACAAACAAAACAAACACAACAACAACAAATCCATTATCCAAAGTTAAACAACACATTCAATAGACCAAACCAAACAAGATAACTAAAGAACACCACCACCATCATCATCATCTTACATCAAGTACAAAAACAACAATTATTGATTTGTGATTTAATTGCATAATCACCAAAACACCAAAACATCTAAACACCAAAAACAACAAAATAATTAAATTTCACTCCTCCCGACTTCAATTTCATCATCACCAAAACACTAAAACAGAGCTCAATTCTGTTTCTTCCTACTTCAATTCCATCTTCACCAAAACAGAGCCAAAATCTATTACAACTTCATAAAATACACAATTAATATAAACATAGATATCAACAATTCCAATCTCCAAATTCTTTGGTTCGGATTCTTCAATTAAATTTTAAATTTTTGCTCATGATTTTTGTTTCTTCTTAAGAAATTCCAACCTTGCTATTTTTCTTCAGGGACTCAATTCCAGATTCAAATTTCTCGGATGTGATTTTGCTTTCATCTTCCATCTCCCCTATCTCAGTTGTTTCGTACCATGAAAAAAAACTGCATTCCGTCTTCCAATTTTTGCAACCATAAAACTTCTTTCCAGGATTTGAGCTCGTTTTTGAAGTCCTTACCTGCGCCCTCAAGCCGCAATGGCATACAATGTTCGATGACGAACCCTGCGAACAAGAAGGTTGCATTTTCAACTCAGATTTTTCTTCTACTTCTCGATTTAGGGTTTAGAATGTTAGGGATTGTTGGAAATTTGGGAATTAGGTCTAAAAATCGATTTAGAGCCACTTGTACAGACATACTGCATTTGTACAGTCATATTGCATTTGTACCTCCACGTAAGAAAATAGTCCGTCCACGTCAGCAGCTAATCAATCTGTCATGAAAAGTGTAAGAAACTTAATTAAATTGGCATCATACTGGACCTTTTTTTAAGACACCCTACATGATAGACCAAATTCATAAAAGTGTTAACTTAGTGGACTAAAATTAAATATTTGCCTATTTAAGAGGCCCATTTCTCTCAAAAATTGAATTTTAAAAACCACAGATCCCCTTTCT